TTTTGTCAAATATTTCCTGATAATATATGTTACAGTAAGCTATATATATATATATATGTGTATGTGTGGGGTATATAACAGATGAGCCTGAGTACATGCCGATCAGCGTCTGTGACTGTGTTACAGTAACGCATATATATATATATAATATCAGGAGCGTATAATGACAAATTTTGTCAAATATTTCCTGATAATATATGTTACAGTAAGCTATATATATATACATATGTGTATGTGTGGGGTAGGTCCTATATAACAGATGAGCCTGAGTACATGCCGATCAGCGTCTGTGACTGTGTTACAGTAACGCATATATATATATATAATATCAGGAGCGTATAATGACAAATTTTGTCAAATATTTCCTGATAATATATGTTACAGTAAGCTATATATATATACATATGTGTATGTGTGGGGTAGGTCCTATATAACAGATGAGCCTGAGTACATGCCGATCAGCGTCTGTTATATATTATATAATATATATATATATACCGTGCGGGAGCTGCACACCGACGGCGACCACGGCTTCTCGCAGGAGTACGACACGATTCAGCAGTACTGCCCGCCCGACGTCACCTTCTACTCGTCGCTCGAAGCCGACAACAAACACAAGAACCGCTACGTGAACATCGTCGCCTGTGAGTACGATACGATACGATACGATACGATAGTACGATACGCTAGTACGATAAGGCAATACGGTGCAGGGTGAGTACGTTATGATACGATACGATATGACAATACGGTGCGGTGTGGGTACGATACGATACGATACGTCAATACAGTCCAGTGGGGCGAGTACGATATGATATGACAATGTAATACGGTTCCATACGATGATTTTGATATGGCACGACATTACAATATGGTGTGATATAACAATTACGATACAATACAACATTGCAATACATCGCAATACGATGAAAACGATACAATACGACGATAAAATACAATACGATACGATAAGAGCAACATGGTACGACAATACAATACGTTTTATGTTATGATGAGATAAGATACCATACAATAGGGTAGTAAAACACGATATGGTATCATGGCAGCGCTGCAAATGCCTCTCTCCTTTGCGGTGCGGCTGTGTGGAATTCGACAGGTTTTTACGAGGCTCTTGTTAGCTACTAAACATTCCTAGCCACTGGAATTATGCTCGAATAAGTTCCGTTTCGCGACAAAATCACTCGGTAGATTGTTCCGCTTTTGGTGGCTTTTTACGTTCGTCAGACTTTACGAGGACGTAACCAGCTCGTAAGCATTCCTAGAGCTGCTGTATTTTTCTTCAAGTAAAGCTCATAGGGTCTATGTCCCCCAGGGTACTATCGGAGGGTACCCTGGGTACGGTTCGATATATCGGAATGTACCCTGGTAACTATCTGATATGGTTAGGGTTAGGAAGTAGGCGTAGGCGACTCCTTAGACTCGTTAGTGGAGTAGGCGAGGTACCGGTCCGGCATATTAGATAGCAGCGAAAAAAATACACGGGACGCGCGAGCGATTTCGCTCCCGTCAGCTTTCAAAGCGCTCTGGTAACAACAATTACGAGAGCGAAAATTTTGGAAGATACGAGAAAAAATCGCTCCCGTGCCGCCGGCAGCGTTCGAACCGGAGGCCCGAGCCCACCAAGTTTTTGCTCGGGCCACCATCTCTATAAAACTCGCGTCCTCCTGACCGGCACTTTTTCTCCT